GAGAGAGAGAGAGAGAGAGAGAGAGAGAGAGAGAGAGAGAGATGAAAAGAGGGCGTTTATCAAACTTGGGCTGACGTTGAATTATAATAAGTGCAGCCTCCCTGCTTCTTCTTCTTCCTCCTCCCCACGTCACTGCAGTCTCTGCTGTGTTTGGTGTGTGTGGTGCAGAGGCAGCACACACATTCATAAAGTCAGCAGGGACCAACAACATATATATACTGCTGACTTGAGCGTGTGCACGTGTACATGCACTCTGTAAGGGTACTATCTATCCATCCTGCTGCTCCAACATGTGAGGCTGTGCTCATGCAGTGGTTCTGTGCACCATAATCCTGCGCTGTCCCCTGCAGGTGTTTCAGTGCAGAAACTGGAACTGTGAGAGCTAATGCACTGATTTATAACCGTTTAATCAGTGCCTGCCAAGTGGCCTAACTAATGCTGTATATTAGGAAACTAATTGACTTATATGTTAGTCATTTTACACTCTTCCTCATTCCTGGTAACAGAAGGGTCCAGTACAGCGTAAAAAAAGAAGTACTGCTGGAAATAAGCTGCATATTCTGGAAATATAAAACTTTATTTGGCTAATTTTTGAAAGATTGTAAGTTAATTTTGAAATTGATGACAACCTGAAAGCAACTCACAGGAAATAAGGGTAATTAGCAACAATTTGAGTTAAATGATTTTGCAATAAAAACAAAAACCTGAGGCTGAATTATTCAGCAAGACAGGAAAGAGGAGTTTGTCATTCTCAGAGGATACAAATCAACAAAATGCTTTTTATTCATAACTACACAAAAAGAAAATTGCTATTGTTGACAATTCATTATAAATATTAATGTAATCAAAGAGTTAAATGTAAATTTAAATGTCAAAAATCTGTAAAATGTTTTAATTATTTATWATAATAGGATATGTTTCTAGTAGAACTCATGAGCTTGTGTACACATTTCACATTGATGTGAATTTTCACTTTTTTCCTCCGCTTTAAAAGGAAACAACCTTTAGAGTTAAAGAGGAAAATAATCATTAAACGCATAAGGGGTTAAAACTGTTTGGGATTTAATGAGAAACAACTGAGAGTTTGGAAAGATTTAAAAAGGAATCCCTCAGGGTTCCGTGTTGAGTCCAAAATATTTTCTATTGAATACAGTATCAATTAAAATGTTTTTTATTATTATTAATATTTGTAGATTATACCAATATTTTTTCTCTTCATGATTTAAAAAGAAGAATAATAAAGTATGTTTTGTGACCTGTGTAAATATAAGAACATAATAAAATGTGCTGTTGGACCCAAAATCAGGTGAGCGGGAAACAGGGTGAAATAAAAAAAGATTACTCATAATTGTTTAGTTTGTGGAATATAGGGGTTTAAATCACAGGCTGTATCACAATATGATATCAATTTGTTTTGATGACAATATGATGTTTCTCGATACCACAAAATCTGTGATGATACGATGTTGACTCAACACAACTCACAAGTTTACAATCTATATGATGCGATATATAGATGGGCAAATGATGACGATATGAATCAATGTTTTGTTTTGTTTTGTTATTTTTTTGCCTTGACATAACTGAATTATTAATTGATGTATTGTTACACCCCTAGTGTAAGGTTATTGATTTTTTAAATGAAATAAACAAACCATCATAAATGGTATGTAATTCTGTTCAGCAGGAGTAACTTGCATATATTAATGGTACTATTAACTGAAAATAATTCTGGACCACTCTAAAGTATATTGTATTGGAACACCATCATTACTGCAAGTTTCATCCAATAAGAAATCTGGCATCTTCCCCGTATCTGAGCGCCAAGATGGGTGCATGGAATGTGGTGAAGGAACAAGAAAAGCTGCTYGTGGAGGTGGAAAAAAAGCAGGGGGAAAACTATTTTAGGAGTACTAAGAATGTAGCAGAATCATATTTGCCTTTGCACTGAAACAGGTTTTCCAATTTTGCAGCGATCCAGACACATTCTAATAGGTTGTTCGGGTTGTGGAGAGCATGGCAAAGTCATCACTGAGCGTGAAGGAAGCTTTAAAGATGGAACTTCAATTTCTTTCCACTGACTAGGTCCATCAACAGTCTGTTATGCTTGTTTTATCCAATGTTTATGTTTGATCTTCCCACCAGCACAAAGAAAAACAACAAATTATTTATCCAGAAGTTTTACTATGAATTACATTTTCTATTAATTACATGTCAGCTGTTTCTAATAGGCTGTCTGCATTTCCGATTGAGAAATACATTATTCAGGAAAGACACACTAAAAAAAATGTAGCACCCCGGTTTATTACTGTGATTTTCCAAACATTCTACCACAAACGCAACAAAGGAGTTATTCTCTTTCATAGTTTTAACATAACATGCAGACATCCTAATCATTTTGACCAATAGTGATAATAGCTTGCTTTAAAACCCAACGTTAAAAATAAAACAGCTAAATAAAACCTCTTAAAGGCTTCATATCCACRACCACTAAATTTAATCCTACATTAATAGTTTTGAATATTTACTGTGTTATGCAGCAYCTAGACATTAACAAGATAAGGCTGCAAGAGGAGATCCAAATGGGTTTTAAGGGAGTTTTATTGTTCAGTTGTTTCCTTTGTATTTTATGGCAAAAGGAAATTTAAAATGCATTATGAACTGTATGCTGCAGCAGGTTGAGATATGTGACTTTTATTGAAATGCGCTTATTGAATTTTTCTGACTGGGCCTCATTTGGTGTAAACATTTATCTCTTTAATGGCATGATAGGTAATTTTTTTATTCACTCCAGTGTTGCTTACTCACTGTGGGAAACTGATAATTTGATAAATGAGCTGCAGAATAGGCTGTATGTGTGTGTTTAGGGGAGGGGAGGGWGAAGGGGGGCATCCTCTTTAATTAGATTGCTGCATCAGCAGCAAAACAAAACAGGCAACAGACTAGGCTTATTGATCTGAGTGTGATTTGATTGGTTGGACTGCAGCTATTATCTTTTATAGAAAGTGCTGAGAACAACTTCACCATAATTAAGTTCAATTTAATAAACTAAAATACTGTTGGAGCAGGATGATCTTTCTCCACAGATATGATGAACCATAATTAGTTTGTCTTTAAAAAGTTATTCTGCCACTCCAGAGATTGTGTTTGTGTGTATTCAAGAAAAAAAATCTTACTTAAATGGAAGGTTTAAAAAAACCTGCATATACTGAAGAAGCCTTTTTGTTTTAGATAAGTTATGTATCATTCAGAAAAACACAAAAGGAGACTAAACCACACACATAACTGTAACTCATAAACTAAAACACATTCAGGTCCATAAATATCGAAACATCGACACAATTCTCATATTTTTGGTTGTAAACACCACCATGATGAATTTGATATGAAACAAACAAGATGTGCTTTAACTGCAGACTTTCAGCTTTAATTTGAAGGTATTTACATTCAAATTGGGTGTTCGGAGTACAACAGTTTATAGATGYGCCTCCTACTTTTTTAAGAAACCAAAAGCAATGGGACAAATTACCTGTCAATCAAGCTTTTCCTTTTTAAATTTTTGTTGCAAATGCTTTGCTGTCAATTACCGCCTGAAAACCCCGACGTTTTTAATGCAGTGCTGCCTGAAGGCAAGAAAATCACAGGCATCCAATATTGATTCAGTCTTGTCTTTTGAGTTTAGCAATTTCTTAAAATTCTTGAAATATTTTGATGATATTATGAAATGTAGATGATGGGATATTCAAAGTCGTCCAGATTTTCTGTTGAGAAATATTTCTGAACTGGCTATATTTTTCTAAAATGCAGTTTTTTGCAAACTGGTGAACACTCCTGTGGCCCTTATTCCTGCCTTTTTAAAATGCTGCTGCCATCAAATTCACCTTATTTTTTTAGTTTAAACATTTGATGAGTTCATTATGTTTCATTGCGAATAAAATATTGGTTTAAGAGAGTTATTTAACTGCATTATGTAAAAGAACAAGTATTATTATCGTTTACCTTTTAAGTTTGTTTATTTTGCTGAATTGAATCATAAATTTAAAAATTATAAATTGATTTGGAATCTATTCTTATATTAAACTAAGTTCCCTTGTTTTCCTTAAAGAGATCATTAGCGGACCGGACTGAAGTCACCCACAGACCGGATGTGGCATGTGGGCCATCAGTTGAATAGCCGTGGTTGAAGATATTAGAAAATGTTTAAATATTTCTTTAAACATTCCAACTTTTTTGGACACGTGGCTCTGATTATATATAGAGCTGTTTTGAAAGTGTGATCCATAAAAATGCGACCTTTCTGCTTCTTTTAGCGTGAAGATTCTCGTGTTTTTACAACAGTCAAATATCTGACAAATACCTTTCAATATAAGTACTAAAGTGTCTTTTTATGTTTTATTTATTTATTWATTTTTTTGGGGGGTTGGGGGTTGTTAATAATAAACTGCTTCTATACTGTAGTGCTCGCTTGATTTTTATCTTACTTTTCACCAACGCAAATGATATTTGTTCACCCTTGCCTTCGTGCACGAGCCCTTTGGCAACATTTAGCTGAATACAAATGGAAGATGTTTCAGTACTTCTATAGTGTTTATAGGTAAAATGAAATGCATGAGACACAGACTTTATGGTTCCAGCAGCAAATTGCGTCGTGTCGTTCTTTCCCTGCAAAAAAAAGGCTAACGATTGTGTTCCTTGTTAAACACGGTGCAGATGAGTATCTCTCAGGTAGTGCAGGTGGAACGTGCAGACAAAGCAAACCACAGTAAGTACAAAACTCAATGACTCGTCAGCACCAATGCATCTGTTTCTGAAAGTAACCTTGTTTTATAAATAGCAACTGCTTGTTATAACCCTCAGAATTATGCACACAAGTTGTAAGCCTGGGGGAGTGAAATGGCCTAAATACAGGCACATCCAGTGTTAGAATTAGCAGTTATCAGAGATCACACCACCGCAATCAGACACATCAGCTACACAGAGATTAGGTCATGAAAACCTCCAGTCGCTGAGTTGTAACTAGTCTTTACAACTAGTCTTAAATAATCTGAGATCAGTGTTATTGTAGGAGGTCTTTGTGGGACAAAACATTATCTTAGTAAGGAATGCTTACAAAGAAGCTGATAACAAAAATGCACACAAGTTGTGTATTTTTAGGAYAATAGTGTCATCACAAATGTGTATTTAAGATTTCAAGTAATACACAAATAAACAATGGTAAGCAAAAACACAAACAATAAAACTACTGGAAGCTAGGTTAGCTCATATTAGTTCAGTTTATTTTTGTCACTCTAAGGGTTCTGAAGTTAGCTGAGGACTCTAGATTTACTTTAGGTTTAATGAGTTTTATTTATAAYTGTCCATATATGTGACCCATCATGTTGAGCGGAGGATTAGATTGCAAATTGTGTAGTGAGAAAATAGGCATTTGTGGAACAAATTTGCAATAATTGCTCCTTTTTTACAGCCAATCTGCCACTCTAGGCAAACTGTAAAAAGCTTTGCTGTAGCTTCTAATCAGACAGTTMAGTCCACTGTTAACTGCCCTAAACAAAGTCCCACATTGTCTGCTGCGTCTATAAATAGGAGACGTTGGCTGCCTTTGCTCACACAGCCACCCTGCAGCACGGCCGTCCACTGCAGTCCACGACCGTCACCAGGGCCTTCCGCAGCATGGAGCTCGGCTGGCCGACACCTGTGACTCACTGGGTCACATCAGCTCAGTCATCAACACCTCTGCTCTGACAGAACTTTGCTAAGATATTGGGAGTGGGCGGTGCTGCGTGAAGCCTGATTTGATAAACATCAAATCTAAAATCAGAACTCCATCTGGGGACTGAGAATTTTATCCTTTTTTTTGGCTTCTAGTTGTCTAACTAAACAGCAGTTCACAGCATCCTAAAAATAAAGTGAATTTTATGTGAAAATGTAGTGAATGTCTGCTGAAATTTATTCAAGAAGCTGAAACTAAGTTTGTAAAGCTAGAATTTTTCTACTAAGCTTAAAGTATAAAACGGTTAAAGCAAATGTAGCAACATAGCTCAAAGAACAAACATTAGCTGCGCAATGCTATATTTCTGAGTGTTTTATGTGCTGCAGAACAGGAACCTGTTGTAAAACAGCAATTATGCTGAGTCAGGCTTGATTTTAGTGATCTTTTCCTGTTAAATCAATAAATCAAATCAAAATCAAATCAAAATGCTAGCTAAGAGTATAAGAGCAAGCAGAAAGCTAAAAGTAGCAATAAAAGAAGCAAACATTAGCTGCAAAATCAATTAAGAAAAATGCTACTTAAATGTAACAAAAATAAGAGTATTTAAGTATTAGCTAAAAGCTAAAAGTAGCGAGACGGTAGCTAAGGATTAAAAGTAGCCAAATGATAGCTAAAGTCTAAAAGTAGCAAGAGAATAAAAAAACAGAGGAAGAAGTTGAAGCAGATTACAAGAACAATGTTTTTGAAGAAATTAAGGAGATCTGAATTATTATGAGGAAAGTATTTGTGAATAAAGGTAAATGTTTAGAGATGTGTAAAAATCACAAATCAACTGAATGAGCTAAAAGTTTAAATACGATGAAAATAGCTACAATTCAGTAGCTGGATTGCAAAAAATGCACAGAAAAATAATGAATATGTTAAAAAAAACAGGAAATCTATGAATAATGAATGTAAATTCACACATTGAAATGTTAGTCTTAAAAAAGTGCACATTCTAACGTTATAAACAGGTTACAACACCTTTGAATGAAAATAGACAGATCTAAAGGCTTGAAGTCTTTTCCAGCAACTGGATGTAACAGAACTAAACGAGGACTGTCCCCAGGAGGACTACACTTTGGGGATAAAAAGTAAGACAAAATGTGTTGCAGGTGGAGTCACTTCTAGCTTTTGTAACATTTAAAACAAGAAGCAGGGTTTCAGCTAAAGCCAGACAACAGTGAAGAAAATCCTGGTGTTTGTGATGAAGAGCAGAAACACAAAGTAAACCCAGGAGCTGCAGACAGTGTCCTGTTTTTGTGCCCTGAATATTAAAGCAGCAAAACATTTGGCCCAAATGTTTCAATAAGGTCAGCAGCTTCAGACATTTTAAAGTCCCAGATAAATCTCATTTCTTCATGTTTAAACATGAGTATTGAAGATTTGGAAATTATGTCAGAACAGTTTCCCAGTTTGTCCATAAAGTGGACAGAAGATCTTCTGATTTGACACCGTAGCAGAGCGTAAACTCCCACAATGCTTTGCAAAGAACTGATAATCACATATAAACCAGTGAACCTATAACCTACAGTGCAGGTTTAAGGCCAGTGGGGATATTTCTGCTAAAATCTCCATCACTTGTTTGTTTGAACTACTTACATAATATTTTATGTCATAAGATCATTAAGTGTAAACTGTTAATAAAATTTGTCAAGAGTTTATTGATTCGGTTTTATTACCCAATCTATTTAATTTCCTCCCTGGACTGAAATGCTCTGTTAAATTATTTAGCAGTTTCCCACAGTGGTCTCCTACTGCCGCACAGCCCCCCCCCCCCCCCCTCTCCTGCTGTCTGAAAGCATATAAATATATTTCTGCTTGCTTTCATGTAGTGTTTATTTTGGACCCACTTGAGGGTAGAGGAACAAAATTTATAGCACTTTCCTGGAAGACGTTTACAAAAATTCTTGGAAAATGCAGCTGAGATTTAAACGAAGTCCTGGATTCACAGTTTTGTTTTGGTTAAACATGTCTGTGTGGATTACAGTGTCCTCCTAACTACAGCTGCAGATAAAATACACTGGATTTATCTGTTGATGTGTTAAACCTGCTGTCAGCTTGGACAACACTGCCCTCTGCTGGTGATGAGATGCTCATGAAGGCAAATGATGGGCTGTGGATTAATTATTAGTGCATGAAATGGACACGATTGAAAGGCTGTTTCCCCAGCTTAACTACTCTTACATAAGTTATCCTGTTGCAACGATACATCTAAWTGTCAATAGCATTCAGATGACTTTTTTAAGATTTTTAGTTCACCAAAACACATCTGAACACTGACTTTAAAACGGCATCRGAGCTGACATTTTTGCATCACTTTATTTTATTTTATTACTAGTCCTAATACTATTATTACCTTTACTATACTAGTAATATATTAGTACTACTAGAAAACAAATTAGTGTCAATACATATTAGGGCTAGCACTAGTAGGGCCCTTACTGTAAATGTCAGCTGTTCAAATATCTTTGCTCGGGGATATTTATTWAAGTCTGCAAGAAAAACTATTTTCATTTCATGTACACGTGTTTATTTGTAGGAACAATGTTTCTATTTATTATTATTGTGACATTCACGACCTTGCTGCTGACTTAGATGAAAAATGCTCGATGTGATTTGATCATACACTGAATATCTAAAAACAGTATATTTTTRCGCAGGTTTAGATTTTATGTGCAGTTTTACTGTCTCTAAGTTTTTATTCTTGTATTTCTTATTGATATTTTGCACCAAATAAAAGCAGTCTTTTTCACATTAAACTCTGAGTTCCGATCCGTTCATCCCCCCGCCGTTTGAAATGATGAATAACCTCTTTGTTTCTACCTGCAAACTACCTTTGAGTAGAAAAGCCAGGACTTTATTAGCACTTTCCTTCTGCCTGGATCCTCCGCTGGGTGGGTTTACCTGGAGGCTCGAAACTTTGAACTGCTGCAAAATTTATTAGAAGTCGTGACAACATGAGAAATGGTCCAATTATCTGGCTCATCGTGGTGTTCATCATCATCAGCCTTCTGACTGCGCAATAAATTCAATTTCAGATTATATTTGTTTGTCGTGTGAAGTCTTCACAGAGATTTTTCATATTGCAAAACTAGAAATACCAGTCATCAGCTGACTCTAAAAATATACAATAAAATTATGTTTGCAGCTTTTAAATCAGATTTTAAAAAATACTTGAATTTAAAAATACAAACAAACTGCTCATCTTTAGGGTCTAATTTTTTAAAAAAAAAACTGATACAATTATTTTTCCAAACTATGGCTAATATAGTCATTTTATTTGTCATATAAAACTGTGCTAATAATTGTACTCAACTGTTTCACTCAATAAGACAAATACTTTGCTGTTTTTTATCTAAGAACTGTTTATTGTCATTTATTTGCTTGAGTATAAATCGTATTGCTCAAAATGCTAAAGTCTAAATTACTCTTAAACCAATTTTTCCAATAATAAAAGCTATACAAAATGCTTATTTTCAAGAATACTTGTCATTTTGAGACAAATACAGAATTTCTCTGAAAGAATAATTTGAAAGTTATGAACAAATGTTATCTTACCTGTTGTAGACAGATTAAAAGAGTTTGATTCTGACAGGATAGGTGAGTTAATGACTGGTCCAAGAGCAAAGTGGTAGCCTAAAATAACTCCAATCTAAAACTTTCATGATGTTTTATGTGAACACTGTTGTATATATATTTAAATTATCATTAATATACACTGTTATTTACAATAAATCCTCCAGTATTACTATTAGAAATACTATAGCAGCACTTCAAGTGCAGATTGAAGCACAAAACATAACATTTCTTCTGGAATGACTGCGGAAGAGTTTGCATTACTTGAATTTATTGTTTTGTTTTTTAGCTTGGAGCAATCCAGTTTTGTCTCGGTCCCACTTGGAATCCAGTCAGAACAGAAAGAGCTATCTACAACATGTAAAATAAATTGTTGTTGCATTCCACTTCAAAACAATCCGAACTAACCCTTTAATTTAAACAGTTTAGAAGAGGTTCTTCTTTTCATACATTCACACATAAAGTGAGAAAAAATAAATATTTTCTGATGTTTGGCTCGTCAAACTGCCTCCAGCAGCTTCTGAGGCAACGACGCTGCCCAGCTTTCACACAAATAAAGTGAGTTCGCTTGGCTAATGACTCATCTTCAGGTACTAGCAGCGCAGGAGGTCTGTGGACGGTTCTGGGGCGTCACTCTCTCCGTCCTCTTCAGCAGAGTCCTCCGAGCTGTTCATCACTGCAGCGCTGAGCTCCTCCAACACACACAGCAGTCGCTCTGAGAAGATACAGACAGCCGGCTGGTCAGAGCGCAAACACCTGTGTAAATGTCAGAMACGTGCAGTAACAGGACATTTATTACCACCTGCAGGAGGCGGGACTTGTGTGTCTAGAGAGCACTTCGTCTCTGAGGGGTTTGGTGCTGCTGTGAGGCTCTGTGGAGACCCTGCCATCAACCCTCTTTCAGCAACTGTGACCTGGAACATATTCTGTTTATATGACAGGAAATCAAAGGAAAACAAATATCTACCACTGTTTTTTTTTTTCTTTTCGTTGTTGTTTTCAAAAATATTCTTACAGAAGGAAAGTGTTTCTTCTCGGTTTCCTTTGGCCGTTTATTAAAGACCTCCTTGTCGTCCCTGCACGCTGTCGCCTCTCTCTGAAACTGACGCAGAGTCATAACTGCAACAGAGAGAGCAGACAGGTCAGAAACCACAGGGACGTGCTGTTATATTGTGCTGCTGTGCGCTGGGTAAACAAATCCAATCATATTAAACCACAGGCCGCATTAAACAGAAAACTTCATTGTGCCGCCTGAGAGGAAACACGAGGTGGATCTCACTACCTGCTCTGGTGTGCTCTCTTCTGGCAGCTTGGACTTCAGCTTCCATCACTCTCAGTCTCTCAGCACACCGCTCCTCGATCCGAGACACGCTCTCCTGCAGGGCTGGAAACAACAGTCCACAGGGTTATTTTTTACTTATTTATTATTTTTATTAAAGTTTTATCATGAACTACAAGACTTTGTTTTGGTTTAAAGCCACAATTCCAATGAAGATGGGACATTGTGTTAATAAAACAAAAAATACAATGATTTGCAAATCTTTTTGACTTATATTAAATTGAATACACTACAAAAGACAAACATTTAATGTTCAAATGAATAAACCTTGTTTTGTCGCAAAAATATTTACTCACTTTGAATTTGACATCTGAAACACGTTCCGTTACACAGTGGTGAACACGACCCTGTCCCATTTTGTTTGGAACGTGTTGTGAGTGTGAAAGAGTGAATACTTGAAAAAAAAACCAGAAAAAACTATAAAGATTATCTGTTTGAACATTAAATATTTTGTCTTTGTAGTGTATTCAAATAAACATAGGTTTACAAATCATTGTATTCTGTTTTATTAATGTTTTATACAATGTCACAGCTTCATTGTTACTGGGGTTGTACATTATAATACCATAATCATATGCTGCAGCATCTTACTTGTGTTTTTACTATCATCCTATCCAAATGTGATTAATGTGCTTTCTATGTCCATCTTTGCTGTGAGTGTGGGGAGGATTGGGTTCAGTCAAACAGTTGTTTTAATTTAGGGAAGTGCCTGACTCAATGAAACGAATGAAAAACATCCAAGTATCAGTCATGACGAAAGCTGCTCGCATTTTCGAAACGCAAGCAAAAACGAGCTTCGCTAGCATCTTTTATTATCTCCTTCAGCTCGTGAAACACTGGAGCGTTTCTTTACAACAGGAGAGATTAATACACCCCCACAAATCTTTACGGGCGTATCCTTTAAAGTGAGGCTTGGTCTTATTAATAAACACAAATAAATGTGATGCCAGGATTAGTGATGCAAGCAAAATAAGTGAGTCTGTGAAACTACCTGAAGGATTTGTCTGTAAATTACTTTGTTTTTAAATTACAGATACATTTAATGCAGAAATATATGTTCCATTTTATTATTATATATGTAATAAGGTTTAAGTCAGTGGTTCCCAACCTTTTTAGACTTGTGTACCCTGAGCAATTTTATCATACCACTAGTACCCCTTCAGTCAAACGTAATGATGATTCTCCAAAACTATAATGTACTACAACTGATTATTAAACGAAAATTATTTATTTAACCCCTGGAACATTTATTTCTCAGACATTTAATTTTTTCAACTCAAACTAAACATAAAGATAAAAATGTTGCCTTGAAGGTGAATAAGTAATTAAATAAATAAACCAGGTAATGGCAGGTGCAGAAAACTTCAGTGTCCAAAATACATCAGAAACTCACCGAAATGAGCAAATTTCGTGAGATTCTACATTTTATACTGGATTCCATTTTGTGTTAATTCCGTGATTCAATCTGCAATTTCTGCATTGCGGAAATGATAGGGCCCTACATATCTCAGTCCTGTTTTTATTCACTTTTTTACACACCTGGGAAATTTTTCCACATTGGGAATCACTGATTTAAGTGAAACAATGTGATAAAAAAATGTAATGCGCCTATAACTAAAGATTTATTTTAAACATCCATCCATCCATCCATCCATCCAT